CAGTGGTGTACAGTAAGTCTTCCCACGCTTGTGGGTGGCAATATCCCACTTGTTGGTGGTTACCTTTTGAAATGAAAGGGAACCTGCTTTTCTAAGCTTATTTCCTGTGTGGTGTAATGTCTGCTTGTGTATGTGATCCATATCTACAGAGTTACATGTGTAAAGTATCGATTAAAAGCTTTAGGCATAGTTTTTCTTATGCACTGCAAATAATATGTTGTATATACAAACAGTTACTAAAACATGTATGAACCAAGAGCACAGACAGGAGAGTAAAAACAAAGTAGCAATGGAATCAGGAACTACTGGCACAAATTACCCCTCTAATGAAAGCTTTGCCTCACATCCTCATCTGGGCCTTAACAGTTAAATTGTTCCCATTTCACAGGGCTTATTTGAGAGCAGGTGTAGGCCTCCCTCAGCAGCAGGGATTAAGTTGCGTTTTCGTGCGGCTAAACCACAGAGGTGCACCTTTTAATTCAGCCGGTGGCTCCCAGCCAGGTTGGAGAAGCGGGGAGGGGTTAAAGTATCCCACTGATTTGCTGTGCACACCTGCTTTTCCCAAGAGATGGAAACTCCACTGTCACGGGGAAAGATTGATGTCCTCATACCTGCAGCTGACATTCCTTTGTCTAATTACTCATGTGTGCCCACTTGTAGCTACATGATTTCCGTGTGTCTGCCTCAGAGAGCTCCAGCACTGCAAAAGCAGATCGGATGAGATCACAGTCTACCCCCATCTGACCGCAGCACACACAAGAAGACACCCCCACACATCCACCGGCCTGTGGCTGTTTGTTATGTTACCACCTGGCAGTATCACATTCATTAGAAATGCAGGTAATGAATTCATCATCCGACAGAGGTAGTTTGTGATGCGATTGCAATTTCCATCCTTATTTTCCAGGGGCCACTGATTGGAATTGATATTAATTGCATATAGCTTTTGTGAATCTTGCATTTTTGTTGATCGGAGCCATCCCACCTGTTTCTGTCTCCAGCGTCTGAAAATGATTGTACGCTTTACCCATAAAAAAACGTTATTATCTTACCTTTGTCTACAAACCGCAGTTCCAGTCTGCTTCATCTGCATCAGTTCCTCAAATCGTTGCTCTGTGCTCTCTGGCAGTGTAAATGCCACACAGCTAATGAATCCTTGCAATCAGATATACAATGTGTTTGAGGAGAAAGACAGACGATGATGATAATCCTTTTGTGTAATGCAAAAACCCAGATTCACTCTAGCCCTCCTGGAAAGTCATAATAAAGTGTAAGCTTGCAATCATGTGCTGGCATTACATAACTCGTCCCCACTGAGAAGGTTGAAGAAATCTTCAGTCTGTGCCGTGATGATTTTGGACGTTCTGCAACCCTAATGCCCCACTCACTTTGGTCATCTCAAGCAGGAGCAAATGTTATGCTGCGTGTAACAATCACATTATTTTTTAAAACAGGGCTCCCTTATTTCTGTTTTTGGGATCCCATCCATCTGCTTTTCCTGTGACCATGTTCTCACTTATTTGATTCCTTAGTATGGATGATGAAGTCTAATTTCCAGGTTTTCATCTGCTTGAAATGTGAAGGTTTTGTTGCATAAACAAACACAATAGTTCAAAAGAAACCTCCGCCGTGTTCAAGAGCTGAAAACAGTCTCTGTTCACGCTTTGAGGAAAACCGAGTTCAAATGTATTACAATATTTGTTTATTCAAGGGGTTAGTTATGTAAATGAGCACTCAGCTGGAACATAAATCTGCAGGTGTGAGGAGTTGGAATCACTGCCATAAAGATCTCAGCTGTGCAGCACAAATCATCACTCCACAAAGGAACAGATTTCCTTAGCAGAGCTCTCAAGTACATTAGAACAGCTTGATATCAGGACCAGAATAGATTAGTCAGGTATACCTTTGTATAGAGACTAACCTGAAGGCTTGTTCAGAGTGTAGTGCTTTGCTCTACGTTGCGTTGTTTCAGATAAGAATACAGTTGGGTTTTACAGAAATCATAACAAAACAGGGTGGAGGAAAAACTAAATAAGAATAAGAAATAACACTCTCTGTGGTTTGGTTCTCTGTCTATCCCTGATGTTTAAGACTGTCAGTAACAAGCCTGTACACCAGGAGTTCCCTATTCTTGGCCTTAGAGACTGGAATCTGGAATTTTCAGCATCTCAATAAAATCATCAGCTGGTGAATGCTGTGGGAAAAAAGCTTAATTTAATTCAGTGAAGCCTTAATTTAACTCAGGTAAATGATTGGTACTCAAGAAAAAAATGAAACCTGCAGGATTCCTGAACTCCAAGGATCCCCGATTTTCACAGGTGACACACAAAACTTTTCTAAGGAGAGTAACTCTAACCCCGTTTAGGGTCAAATCCTGAAATAAGCAACATAGAAGAAAAAGTTATTTTTAAAAAGCACAAGCAGGATAAAACAAGCAAGATAAAACCTGTATAAACTATGCTATCCTATGCTGTACATAAGAACTGTCACCCTGGAAGCAATGATCCCTCTGACTTGATCACCACAGGTCTCCATTCTTCTCCTAAAGCATGGAAATGTTAATGGTTTAGATGAAAGTTCATGCTGGTGGGTTTTAAAAGTTCCAGGCACTGTTGTAGCTGCAGACACTAGATAACCCCCCTGACATTAATTATCATTGACAAGACTATTATAGTAAACCTGAGGAGATATGCAGGCTGCACAGAGATGTAGGTGAAACAGTCCTGAGTCGTGTCCGCTGGCAGTGCAAACCGATGGCTGCCAAGGAGGCAGATGACATGTGATTTTGTTCCAGACTACCTGGACTGTCAAAGTGGTAGGGTAGTTGTAATCTATTAAGTGTACCAAAATGACGATGAATGCTGTTTGTTGAAGAATCATCTGCAGTCTGTCTTGTAATCCACAGTTTTTTTTAACCATTTGTCATACGTTTTTCCCCAAACTTTTCTCCTTAGTGTATTGATATTCCAAAGTCCCCATGGTGTACAGTACTAAAGCTTTTTTGAAGATATTAAAAGCTATTACAAACTTATATTTTTGTTTAAATAGTGGTGTGACATAGGGACTACATAAACCATTAACTTTGGGAAAAGTAAGCAAATAAGTTCTCTATAGAAGTTCAGTTTTACTTAATATTACAGTATTCATATACTGTACATTTTATTTGAAAAAGGCAACTTTTTTCTCTCTTTAATTAAACGATTCTTTAATGACTTGTAATTTGTTTTATAGTTTTTACTCTTCATAGTACATTACATATTTTATTGGTGTGTGTAGATGTTTACATCAGAAGTGGAACTCATAATAGGTTTGAAAAAAATGTCAACATGCCTGCTTGTCAGAACATAACTGCTTCTTTGTCATAGTGGTTAGGTTGTGCCAACATACTGTATCACGACTGCCATTTGCTGTGATTATATGCGTTTGAACCTTTCTTGGTCATCAGTGGATTAGTTTTCCTAAAGTAAAATGAATAATGAATAGGGAATGTTGCTTTGTTATCACTTTTATACATTACATATAATGACATTATAGGGCCGTGGATACACAGTTCATCAATAGCATTATCCTGTGTAACACTGAGTGTTACTACAGTTGATGTCCAAACCCAAACCTGCTTTTGTCAAAGTAACTACCACAGTATCTCTTAACAGTCATGTGGTGGTGCAGTTAGTATAGTCTTCTTTTAACTTCTGTTTCTTCTTTTAGCTGTCTGGTATCACTGTTAAACCATTCAGTCATTTTCCATAATATATTCATTTTAACTGGACAGAATGTTAAAGATACTTGGTAAGTTTTAAGGAAAAGTAATATCCTAAGACATTTTATTTAAGTTTAAGTCTTGAAGAAAATTATCGCTAATGTTGAAAGCACTGCTGTAGCAATAGGTGCTAGTGTTGGGTTTGCAAATAAAGTCAGATGTTAAAACTGTTTATTTTTAAAGTGTAGCCATTTTGTGCTGGAATTGGCATTTCTCCTGTGCAGGAGAGTCACAATAAAAAGAAACAGCAGCTAGTACAAGGAGACAAAATCTCAGACTGGATTAATGACGTTCATTGGCCTATTATGCCAAATAACTTTAAAAGATTAGGGTAGAATACATTTTTGTTCTGATTTCTTTTGATGTGCAGAAAGTCTAATAAAGAAAGGACTCCTCAGGATCCACTATATCGGCAGTATATCTTTGTCATTTAATTGGAAATTGCCATCAGGTTGGGACAGAACTCATTCTCATTCAGCATATACTGCCTGAGCTATCCACCTTTTTCACATTTAACATACTACTATCTCTGTAACCTTGAATTGCATATGTTCTTAAATCTTTCTTTTTATTTAATCTGACTGTTTTTGTTTTTCACAAAATATAAAGCTTGTTGACACTTTAGGGAAAGTCAAATTCAGACACTCTCTGGATTTGTTTCTCTAACCTTGTATTTGTGGAACATTGTCAGAACAGAAGATGGCATGACATTAGGGTAAAATAGCATTCAGAATCTTTTGTGTCAAGAATCTTAACAGCTATTCAAATTTGAGATGTCTGGCAAAAATCCTGTTTTTTTAAAGGTTAGATTTTAAAAATCGTTCTTGTTTTTAAGGTGAAATGAGGTGATAGGGAGATTGCAGCTAAGTACTGTGCAAACCCCAATCACATTGTATGAGGAAACTACAACATCTTAGACATTAAAGTCAGTCATTGTCAATCCAAACATTATATTTTAAGCCTTGTAAATTACTTTCTGGGCTCATTAAAAATACTAACTGTTGGAGATGCAAAAGGCCTATACATGTTTCCAGTTGGTAAGAGTGGTTAAACATCTGCCAAAAACATTTAAGAATACTATGGCTTATGGTTTGTGTGGTGAGACCATCTAAAACACAGATCTGGTTGTACGGCCATCATGCAACGTCAATGTGGTTATTCGTTTTGGTTCAGTAGAGTGGTGGTTTTGGTTGCATTTGTGGAGGTTTAACACTTTTTCATGTTCTCTGTTCTTTCGAAGAAATTGATATTGAGCGTTGTGTGCGAGAATCTATCAACCTTTTCTGCTGGACTCCCAAAAGTGCGACATATAGACAGCATGCCCAGCCGCCCAAGTCTGTGGGAGGGGATAACAACGGATTCAGCAAATCATCTTCATACTTTTCTACTGACGACCAGGACCTTCCCAAAACTGACTTGGTAAGTGCTTAGATATACTGTAACATTATCAGACCTGTCTTCTGAGTACTTCTGAGTACTCTCAGCTTCTTTTTTATAAACATTACTTATCCAATTTTCTTTTATTCACATTATTTTCCTGACTTAAAACATCCTCAACTTATTTACTGTGTGGTCATGAGGTGTATGTATATAAGGTCAACAATATATATCTAATATATATAGTCAACAAATGTTTTCCACCCAGTATGTGCAGTCAACAGATGTTTCTGAGGACCTTAACTCTGTGTGTATCTACAGATTTTCTCTTTTTACTTTTTCCATTTAAATATTTACACATTTAGGTATGCAAAGAAAAAAATAACAAGACTCATGCTAATTACAAAGCAAATTGTATTGGTTTAAGATTATCAAAAAGCATAGCTTTATTCAAACCAAACTTAGCTTGAAGATCATTTAGAATGAAGAGGATCTTCCTCAGAAGTCTGGTGAAAATGTTAATAGCTGTACCTTTTGTGTTTTAGCTTTAAGAATGATCAGGGTTTGATCACATAAGAAGGGATTGAGCTAATTTAATCTTTAAACGAAGCTAATCTCTACCCCACAGAACAAGCACGAAAACAGGTAATTACCAGTAAACCCTGCGAAAACTGGGAAATCTTGTGTACTTCGTTTTCTGTTACAAAAAGCAATGTGATGCTTTGTGTACATTTACTTGAGTTTACGTTTTAAATGTTAAAATCTTTTTAGGGCAGTTTGGCAATTTTTATATACTCTACTGTGTATGCTTGTTGTCTGTTGTATTTGTTTATCTCACAAAATGGGATCTCACATCATTTTGGATATTTTTGGAGAGATTTGTCTCACACAGGGAAAAGCATAAGCAGACCCATCATGCTGGATGATGCATCAAGTGCTAATAACTTGTCATAAGACCTTCGTTTCGAATTTCACAAAATCTACAAAACTCTTTTGTTATTTTTACTGAATGGAATTCAAGGACCTTGCCACGATTTATAATTTAAGGACCTACAGTACATCAGTGCTGTTAAGATTCACACTGTTTTTATTATTCAGTTTGAATATAAATTCCCCTGCTGGAACATGAGAACAGTTGGCTGTTAACAGGACTGGAGATTCATTTGAGCCACCATAAACATGTCTAGCCACTAGACACCCACTGCCTCTTTAGAATTCAGAACTAAAGACCCAAGTGTTCTGCTGTGATCCTGACACTTTGTTTTACTCAATGTTCTTATGGAGGACTTTTGGCTTGCATGAAAAGAGTAATCTCCCTTTTTCAAAAGTTCCATTCCATGTTTCTAATAATATTGTCCTCTGCCATAAAGAAAGTGAGCTGTCTTAAGATACTGAATTTAATTCTTCAGTGCTCTGCATTTTTGAATATTTGACTTTTTCACTTAATTCTTTCAAAACTAGAAACCGAAAATCAGCTTTGGAAATTTTAAGCAGACAACCAGTTGCTTTACGACTATGGCACGAAACGGAAACTAAGTCGTTGTTTGAGCTGAATAGTACCCTCATGACTTTACTTCCTTGCCAAATGTGTAATGTCCAAAAAGTAAAGGTCATGGTGTCAAACTGACTTGTACTGAATGTAAATGCAGTTTGTAATCAACCACACGGTTTTGAGCTTAGCAGCTTACTCTCCTGCCACATCTAACAGTTGTAGATTTAAGCAGTCCATTCAAAGCCACATCTTGTCCACAGAAAAATACTACTTATAAAAACATATAGGAGGGGACTGACGTCGTCAGTCTCTGAAGTGTAGCGTCCCCAAAACCATCTTGTGTTCCTACAGCCCCACTCCACATCATTTCAAGAACTGAGAGGTTCTTTGCCCGTTGAATTAAGGGGGAACAGGTAGGGGAGATTATACACACCCAGAATAGGGATTTAGCTAGGACACTCTCCTAATCTTTCATATAGTGCCATTGTGCCTTCAAAGCTTGGCTTTAGATGAACATTTCATTAGAGGGACGGCACCTTTTTTAGCACAGTTCCACAATATTAATCGGTTTGGAAATGTAGGCTCCCACCTGAGGATCCATCAACAGAACTCTGGCTTTCCCTGGAGTTCTCCCATCAAAGTACCCAGGGCTTAGCTTGGCTGCTGAGGTTTGATGACCTCAAGTGAGAAGGTAGTGCTGCAAAATTAAGTCCTAACTTTGTTTTTGCCATCTACTTTGTCTTCCATTAATGGGTGGTGCAGAGAACATTAAAACACTTTAGAGCAAGGCTGTTTTCTTCAAAAATAACAAATCTCCCTATGCACACGTTTTGCATTTCTTTGGTGACCTTCCCTAGAACACTACCCTGGCATTCGGATGGCTTGAAATGTGTACCTTTACTCATCCAAGAATAAACACCTAAAACACAGAATGGACGTTTTGATAGACACAAAGGCAATCCTAAACCAGCTGTTGGACTGAGTGTAATCTCAACTCGATCTAATCCAGTTGATTTGTTTGACTTTTAAAATAAATAGGTTTAAAATGAGCTTCATCTTCCCAGTAAAAGGGCCTGAACTGAGATGCTGGAAAGAAAACAACACTGTGTGTACTTAACTGTGGTCCTGTTATTCTTTGTAAAGTCTGCCTCTTTTGGGATTAAAGGTCTCCATTTCGTTTTTTATACGTTACTTTTTGACTTTGGTAGCTCAAATCAGGGAGCTTATACCTTTACAGTCATGTCTCTCAACTTGTCCTGTTTGCTAAAATAATTACAAATAAGCTTCTTCAAGCCAGATGTCCTATTTGTTTTGCTAGCAAAATCCTGAATTGAAAGTAGATTACCAGAACAAAAATATCTTGAGCCACATTCACATGGGGTTTTAAGTCTCTTTAGGAGACTGACCTGTGAGTTCTGGATGATGGAATTTATTCTGTGACATCTCAGACATGGGTGTTGTGGGAAGATTTACACATAGAAGTGTGTTAGATTTTGTTTTCTTTATGTGAATTAAACCCTACATGGTTTTCATTACTTGGTTTAAGCAACTGAGAGGATTCAGGCATTGCTATACATAATGGGATCATCTCTTAGCAGACAGGCAGCTTAAACAATTTCCTTTCGTTCCCCAAAAGACCAGGCACTCAGGCAGATATGAAGTAGACAGATCAAACCCTTTTTTTCACAGTTTTCTGGAGAAGCAGTGCACAAAAAGATTCTGTAACACATCAATAGAAGAATTTCCCTAGTAAAATGACAAGATTCAGCTCAATCTCAGGTGGCATTTCTGAAACTGGAACACAGGCTAATCAGGGACATAGACTGCACACCGCCATTCAACTGTCGACTGCCAGATTCTGTTAAAGCTCACACAGCTCCCAATTACTTTTTCATAATTCTCCCCAGAGAATTAAAGAAACCGATTCACTTAACCACAATTGTAAATCGACACGTATTTATGCTAAATGTGTCAACCACATTAACAACCACACAGTATAAATCAATAAATACCAAAATGCTATCATCTTCATTTGTTATTTTTTATATCCTGGTATATACTAAGAATCAAAAGAAATGTATCACTTATAGCTGTATCAAAGCCATTAAGTTGAACTTGTCATTTTTGTTTTGTTTGTTTTTTTGCATTTTATGGAATAGACATGACATATAACATATAGTACAGGTTAATATTGGTCACGAACAAGATCTACAGTGAAAGACACAGGCTAGAAGTGTGTGTGTGGCCACTGTTGGAGGTCCCGCTCCCCTCATAGAGCCTAGACAGGCATGTGCCTGTTCACTGGTCTCAGAGCCCTAGATGTCAACAGTTCATCCCAGGTCATCTCACAAATGTTCAGTGGGGCTCACGTCCAGTGAGTAGGGGAAGCCCCATCATAACCGTTACATTCTCATCTCATAAAGAATGCCATTGCTACACAACCAGCACGTGGATGTGTGTTGTCTTGCCGGAGTGTTGTCATGTCAGGGATGTGCCAGCAGGAAGGGCAGCAGGTGAGGTTGCCATCAATCACTACATATGGAGTTCTGTGGCCACTAGACATGCTTGGACCTCCCCACTGGTTGCTCCAGTCTACACAACAGTTAGTGTATTGTTCTGCATATCTGCTCCCCATTTGCTGCCATCCATCAGGGTTGTCCACACAAAACCTCGATTCATCACTGAAGAGAACTTGGCCTCACGGCTGGCAAGTCCAGTTGAGGTGACAATTCAGCTGCCAACATTCCAGTGGAATGAAGGCATTTTGCTCCCTTGATAAGCTGTATATGTTGGTTCCTTTCCATTTTTTTCTTGTTTTTCTTTCTTTGTCTTATTTTTCATGTTTGCTTTTTTTGTGCTTGTCTCAAGAATTGGTTATTAAATAGAAAAATGGTACATATGAGGGGTGAGAACTCAAAATTGAGCTGATATAATTAGAGTACTGCAAGGATCTTTACTAGGATCACTGCTGCTCTTGATTTATCAGTGACCTACATTTTGGTATAGTTAACAAGTCATGTTTGCATATTACACCAACATAAGAGGATTAGAAGCCACCCTTAGAAGCTGGGAATTAAATTACAAAATTGATCAAATTTAGACTGAGCAAACACCAGGTAGACAATGTTTAATGTAGTGCAGGGTTTTGAATGCAAGTAGTAAAAACATAAATTATACATACAAAAAACAAACCACTAAGCTAGGAGAGGTTTCTTCTGAAGAAGACTGAGGCGATTATGTTGACATACAGTATTATTGTCTCCTAGACAACCACAATATAGAAAATATATTGCTGCTCTGGAATCTGTCCAGAGAAGAGGAACCAAATGCATTCCTAAGGGAATATTCTACACTGACAGGCTGAAGGAACTAAACCCTTATGTTTTTGAACAGAAGATTACAAGGGGACCTGATATGGGTATCCAGAATCCTCTAATGTCATTTTGAAGAATTCAACCCAGCAGAGTTCTTCAGAATGAACAGTGAAAGATGAACCAAAGGAAGATTTAAAAGCAAAAATATCTTTATCCAAAGATTTGTGGTAGGACAG